AGGCATCCAGTGCCTTCGGATCCCTTGCTCTGCGCTCCCTCGCGCGATGGGATCTTTTCATCAGCACAGCCTCACTCCCTGCACCCAGGCTCAGGTCTCAGCATTCCCTAGTTGCCCAAGTTCTTTCCAAAATCTGGTGGACAACTCTCCCCTGCTCTTGTCTTTTTTCCTGTTCTTCTTTTTTCAAACTATTTTTTAATTTAAAAAACTTAATTGTGCTAAAATGCAGGTAACAAAGTTTATCATCTTAGTTTTAAGGGTACAATTTAGTAATGTTAAATATACTCACACTTTGGTGGAACTAATGCCAAAATTTTGTCATCTTCAAAACTAAAATCAACAATAACTCTCCATTTCACTGCTCCCGGACCCTGGCAACCACCATTCTATTTTTTGTTTCTATGAATTTTGACTATTTTAGATGCCTCATGTGAGTGGAATCATACAGTACTGTATTTATCTTTCTTGTGACAGACTTATTTTACTTAGCATAAGGTCTTCAAGTGCGTATCAGAATTTCCTTCCTTAGGGCTGGGGATTTAGCTCAGTGGTTCCAGTGCCTGCCTTGCAAGCGCAAAGTCCTGAGTTTGATCCCTGGTACCAAAAAAAAAAAAAAAGAATTTCCTTCCTTTTATGACTAATTTAAATTTTTAAAGAAAAATTTCTCTTTTTATTTTGGGTGTCCTGTTCTTTTTGTGTTTGAGTCCTTCCTCCCCTCATTCCTTTAGCCATTATTTTGGAGGACTTTAAAGAAGCAGAGATAAACAAGTGCATCCAATCTGGTCTTCAAAAGGAAACCCATATTCTATTTATGAAACATGGTGTTTAAGGACCTAGTCTTTGATGATTTTTCTAATCTCTTTAACTTTGCAACACCCCTTAAAGGAGAACAGAATACAAGATAAATTTGCATTTAGTCTTCATTTAGCCAAAGACAAGCTTATGCTTTGATGTTAAGCAAAAAATGTATTTCTTGAGGGTCTTTTTTCCAACATGAATTTAAGCTCTTCCCTAGGGAATCCACCATAATGATTCTCAAAGTATGGTTCTTGGACTCCAAAAATAGGCATCACTTGGGTTAGTGATACAAAACACAAATTTTGGGGCCCCGTGTCACACTTACTGAATTTGAAAATCTGGAGTCAGGAGCCAGTAACTGTATCTTAATCAGCTCTCTGGGTGATTAAGATGCTTGTTAGAATTTGAGAACCACTAACTAGTCTTTTAGAGGCAACTCTACAAAGTTGCATCTAGAGATTAAACATTTTACTTAGCTTTAGTCCAAAACTTTGTAAGATTTTCAGGCTATGAGGTGACTGTCTTTCAGTAGACGTGTTGGCTGTACCACCTACAGTCCCAGTGTTTGAGTCTTTACTAAAGAGGCAGGGTTCTTCCTGAGCTTGTCCTGCACCCCAAAGGCTACACTGACTGGACCACCTCAGTGAAGACTAGAGAATATGTAGGATGATCAAGACCAATCACCTAGATTCTGTCCTTTGAGATTAATTATCGACACTGAAATTGTAGTCAGTGCTGAAATCCTAAAAGTATATACATCTGACACAGATGGCATGGCCCTTATATCCTTTCAAATGTCTCCTTTTTACCCCCTTGTATGGTATACCAGAAAGATTTGGGTGGGATATATCTTAACTATTGACAGAAAATGCTACATGATTGAGTGGTCATAGTTACTATTCTGAGTCACATAGCTTGTCCAAACCATTGGCTTTTCCTTGCTCTTGTCTTGTTTTGCCAGCTGCACATAAGCACATTGTTATTTCTGTCCAGTATCTGTTTAATTTCCCCATGTGAAAATAAATTTGGTAGCACTCTTATTTCATTTCAATGCTGAGCTCTCAGAGTTCTTTTGCAATTGCTTCCAGTCTGATTCTCTGAGAAACTAGAGCAAATTGCTTTGTAAATCAACAGCCAAAGAATCAATACTGGTGATGTTCTTTTAAAGTATTCAAGACAAATAGTCCCTATAAGGCACTGTCACTGCACTCCAAGTTTCAAAAGCAAATATTCTGAAAATGAAAGCAAAGGAAATCAGGAACTATTACTTCAAAGGTTATGTGATAGCATATAAAAGCTAGGACATGATCTGAGAAGTAAATGTTTGTTCTGAAAACAATATTAACATAATGGGAATATCAGGATCCAACGTTACTTTTTCAGGTCATGGTTATTGATTTAAGAATTGATGCAAATAAAAATTATTATCAGAGAACTGTTTGCAAAGCTGTTTTCAATCTAATGTATCTTCTTTTAATTTTATCCTATGTTAAGTCTCTTAGAGAGAGAGAGGCCAACTAATCCAATTATGCACTTCATGCTTGAGTCACTTCTACATTTCTAAAGCAATGAGAGGTTCTTGTCATTGTGGTTAATGACAGAGCCATCTACCATGCCTCATCTAATAAACCAACAAAAAGAAATGAATGAATGTGGAAACACAAGATGTAGACTGATAATTTAAAAACATGGCTCTTGTAACTGTTTCAAAGGGTAGTGCGTTCTTTCTTCTATCATTCCTGGGGGAAAGGTGTTAAACACCGTCCTTGAGACTGATAATTGTCCCCCAACTTGGTTCTCCTTAATCCCCAAATGTTTACTTGGCACCTAACTGATCAAGATAAAGATTACATTCCCAAGCTTTCCTTACAGAAATGTGTTTCAGTTTACTATTGCTGTGTAAAAAATTATCCCCAAATCCAGAGGGTTAAAACAACCTTTTCATTATGCTCACGGACTCTATGGATCAGGACTCGGAGAGTTCCACGCTCATCACAGGTCTGGCATGACTTCTGTTATGCCCTATTGGTTGGTCAAAGCAGTCATAAGCTGATTCAGATTCAAGGAGCAAGGAAATAAGACCTCAGCAAATTATGGGGGGAGCGACAAGGTCACACTGTTGAAGAGCACCAGGGGGCAGGAGATACAGTTTCTGTCATCTTTGGAAAATGCAATCTGGCACACTATGGGTGTGACCATGTTCACTAACTGCTGACCAAGAGAACAGATGGGGAATTCATATGCTTAATTTCCTGGAAATGTCCTTAAAGGGTGTGTGTTGGCAGAGGAAGGGAGGCTTCTGTCTCCTTTCCACTCTTCTCTACATTGACATATGGATGAAATGACTGGTGGTGGAGCAACCATTCTGGACCACAAATTGAGGATTACAGAACAATGAGCTTGAAGGAAACTGGGTCCTCATGGAGCACCATGTCAGTCCTGAACTGCCTACATTTACATCACAGAGAAATAAAATTTTATCTTGTTTAAGCTACTAGATTTTGTATTTTCTGCCACATGTGCACAATGCTAAACATAATTAATAAAAACATCATCACAAATGAAGGCAGATTATGCAAATGCATCTTAGATTATTGTGTATGTAAAAACATCATAATGCTTATATGGTAGGAAGTTTGACTAATTCTGTATCGTTGTTCCAAGCAGTCATATGTGAGAATCACTATATCTTACAGTTTGCCTCTTAAAATGCTTGACAATTACAATTAGAAGCACTTTATTTAAAAACAACAGATGAGGGCTGGGGATTTAGCTCAGTGGTTCTGCTGCCTGCCTTACAAGAGGAAGGTCCCAAGTTTGACCCCTGTACCGAAACCAAAACAAAAACAACAAAAAAACCAAAAAACAGATGAGCTTGATAAGAAATTAAACTAGAGAAATGCATTCACTCAAGGAGTAAATATAAGATGCATCACAATCAAATGGAAATATCAAGTTGCATTTTTATAAAAAGGAGTGGTTTGTTACATCTGATTCTTAGTTTTTGAGTTTCCTGAGTCAGGCATTTTTTTTCTTTTGCGTGCGTGCAAAGATAAATCTGAATAAGTGAATAAGAAAAAAAGAGCGACTGAGCTTGTGCTTCAACTACTTTGTTTATAATATGGTCGTTGTAGAAAATGATGTATATTAAAACAGCATTTAATTGGAAAGATACATTTTTCTCTACTTCAAAATTGTCAACCTTTGCACAGCAAAGCCTTCATTTCAAAGTCAAGGACTTCTGCTTGTGCTTCAAGCACAAGTTTGTAATCATCTTTACGTTGAAATATTCATATTTTTGAAGATTCAATTGAAAATTACTCGAGGCGTTAGGATTGGTTTTAAAAATAAACAGTAAGGGCCTAATCAGGCAAAGCTCCTTTTGCTGTAGGGCAGTCTGTCCTAACTAGACATTTTAGCCAAATTGTACTACCCTGTTTGAAGGGCATCAATCAACTTTGATAAGTGCTTTCCATTACTTGGTGCTTTTGTCTCAGGAAATACAGTAGTATTAATGCACGGAGGGAACCATGGAAGAGCGACAGTAAGGCAAGACAATCCATAGGATGGACAGAGAGAGGCTGGGTAAAATGTGGCGCAAGAAAAAGGAAGATTTCACAAAGACGGGATAGCATCTCTTTGTCCAAAAGAAAACCAGTGCCACTATAAGGCTTGCAACAAACGACATCACCAACATTTATCGGTGCAACTAGATTCTAGGAGGAATCTAGGTGGGAGGCTGAAGTTTCAGGACACATCCCGTGGTGCAGTACTACCTCGGCTTAGGCGGCCCTGGGGAACGCCGTGAGGGAATTCGGGCGTGAGGGCCTCGCAGCGCGACCGCGGGGACAGATGGACAGCGGGAGGCTCCGGGGCCCCACGCCTCAGCGCGCACCAGAGCTTTGCTCACGCCCGCCGGCAGCGTCGCGGGCTCCGCAGCGCGCGCTGGCGCGGGTTGCCATGGTTTCGGGGTCACGTGGGCGCGCGCGCGGCGGGAGGGGGCGGGGCCCCGGGCGGGGGAGAGGCGCGGCCGCGGCGGCGGCGGGAGGAGCCGGAGATGCTGCCAGCCCTCCCGGGGTCGCGCTCGCTCAGCCGCCGCCGCCGCTCCGAGCCGCCGCGCGCCGGGAGCCGCGGGCCAGCCCGGCCGCCGGGGCCCAGTGCGCCGCGCTCGCAGCCAGTAGCGCCGCCTGCGCCCTCTGCGCTCGCCTGGTGGCCGCCGGCCCAAGACCGGCCGGACCGCGGATAGGGGCCGAGGGCGGCGCCCGGGCGCCCGCTGCACGGGAGGCACGATGAGCATCGAGATCCCGGCTGGGCTGACGGAGCTGCTGCAGGGCTTCACGGTGGAGGTGCTGCGGCACCAGCCCTCCGACCTGCTGGAGTTCGCGCTGCAGCACTTCACGCGCCTGCAGCAGGAGAACGAGCGCAAGGGCGCCGCGCGCTTCGGCCATGAGGGCAGGACCTGGGGGGACGCGGACGCCGGGGGCGGCACCCCCAGCAAGGGGGTCAACTTCGCCGAGGAGCCTATGCGCTCCGACTCGGAGAACGGCGAGGAAGAGGAGGAGGAGGAGGCCGCAGACGCAGGGGCGTTTAACGGTGAGCCCGGCCCCCGCGCGCCCCAGCCCGCGCTCGCGTCAGCCCGCGGCTCCGCTCCCTGCGCCCGCCTCCCCCGCTGCCCGCTGCCGCCCCCTCGGCCTCCAGCCTGGCCTCGCCCACCTTCCTCCCGGCCCCCTCGCCGCGCCCTGCCCGGCTTCCCTGCTCCGGGGGCACACGGCTGAGTCTCGGCTCCCCCTGCCCGCTCGGGTTTGCCCCTGTCTTGCCGGGCCGGTTCTGGTGGGCATCTGCTGGAAGCCAACTTTGGCCGTGGTTGGAGCTATTTCGCTTGGAGGACACCATTGTGCGTAAAGGAAACTGGTCCATTTGGCGTCCTCTTTCAGCCCTTAAATTTATTAATGGAGTGTCCAGAGAGAAAAGGCGAAGGAGGATTAAATTCGGTCGGTTTTGCTCTTGTCAGGGCGGTAGATTCCCGAAAGGAGCATGAAATCAGTCTTGTGGGGGTAGAACAAAATTTGATGTCTGATAATTGTGTCGTTCTTAGAGACAGTAATTTATTCTTTTCCAATTTACCAATACCATATTGTGTTATTTTTGGACGCACAAGAAAGGATCCCATTTAGCTTGCAGCCCATGTGGTCTTTGGAAGTAGGAAATGTGCTAATGCTTTAAAATATATACATATATATCGTATTATGAAACAAATGATTTTTGTTTTGAAAAAAAAGTGTGTGAAAAACATTGTAGGAAGTTCTGGAAAGCTTGTTGGTTGTCTTTAGAATGAAAAACCAGTGAGTAATTGTGAGGACTGTGCCAGACACTAAAGCTAGAAAGAATGAATGGGAAAGAAAAAGGAATTTTCTCAAATAGCTGCTTTTGGCAAGCCCCACCCCTTCTGCTTACAACCCTCTTTCCCTAACACACGCAGCACACACAACACACACGCACGTTTACAGTTACACAACAAGCCTAAATCCCATTTTTATGGCATCCCAGGCTTTAAGACCGTGGTGTGCAAAGGGCCAAGTGCTCACTCTTTGTGGTGTAAGGCAAACATGCATGCAGCATTGCAACAGCTTTTATTTAAACTGCTTGTGGTTTGTGCGTCTGCAGTGCCATTCCGTATAATGAAAACATTTTCAAGTGTCATTTCATTTCCGTGTGTCCTTTCCTAAGAAGATGTTTCTTTGAAGAATTACATGTTGAAATGGGTTGCAAAAGTCAAGCATTTTTAGCTTGTCTAAAACAACCACAGACACCTTGGGAATTAGTGTTCCATGAAGATACAGGGGAAAATTGTTACTTAACATTTTAATTTTGGACCTTTAGTGTTTGCCAGGGTAAGGTAGTCATGGACTTAATCATTCTTTTTGCACAAATTTAATCAAATGCTTTTCTTACCAGAAACAAGAGAAAGAGGAGAGAGTACATATTTTATATAGATGAGAAGAACCAATAATGGATGACTTAGCGTCTAAGACTGCTTTTCTGCTCGTGACACATCCATGCACACACACAAAGGAAAAGAAGACTCGTTTCCCAGATCGGAGGAAAGCGAGGGACTAAGACTTGAGAAAGAAGCTGCATATGTTCTATAAAATATAATGTTAACATTACTAAAATACTTTGTTGTTGTCATTTGAGGTGCTCTGCACCAATATTTTCATGTTCTTGTTGTGCACAGAGGAGATGTAATTTGCATTTTTCAGTGAAGAAATAAGCTGTTAACTCATAAGCAGCAGGGTAGTATTTTTATGTGGTTTTCTATTCTCCACTGTACCTTTACTATAAAAAAATCACTCAATATGAGTTTTAATAAATACTTAACTGGTCTTGCTGCTTATTCCCCAGTTCTAGCCTTGAGAACTTTAAAACTTTTTGACTCAACCAAATCCCATTTGACCATTACCCTGGTACATATATGTATATTTGTGTAACTGAGGCTTTGACAACAACACTGCCTTCTTCTAGATGCAGTGCTTTTTAATATTTTCTACTGTAGTCACCCCCCTTTTTAAAAAAAATTATGCCAAGACTCAACAGCTTAAAAACTTTTAATTGTAGAAGACCAAGTGATTTGCAGACTTTCTTGTAAAGGGCCAGATAGTAAATATTTTAGATTTTGTGAGCATCTAATCTGTTGGATTACATCAACATCTTTTTGTCTTTTTTTTTTTTAAAAAACAACCCTTTCAACACATACCCCCCTCTGGAGATTGAGATTGTACAAAGCTGGCTGTAGACCAAGGCCACAGTTTGCTGACCTATCGCCAGAGGAGGGGGACGAGGTCAAAATAGTTTTGTTAGGGAAAAAATATATCAGGAATGAACCTCAAAAATACAACTCTATCAGAAAAGTTCTGAGGAAAAACCAATGGATAATGGATAATTTTCCTGGCAAAAGTAATGAGTAAGCATGGAAAGACAGCACAAGACCTGCTGGGTGAATCATTTTTAAATTTTCACATGCATTTTAGGCTCGTTTGACTGAGAAATGAACATTATCTGGTGCTGTTCTTCACTTGATCTTAGTCAAAAGGCCAAGAATCGATTAGCTGGTACCCTCTTGGAGAGCTTTCCTGAGTAGGTTGAGGTAGGACATATACTAATATCTTTTTTTCTTGTCAACAGACATCTCAAGTCATTCATATACCCTTAGTTCCCTGATTATACTTTGAAAAAATGTTGATCAGGACATAGTGATGACAGTACTGTAATATCTCCTGATCTTAACAGCTAAAAAAGAACTGTCATTTGTTAACATTTGCTGTGCACTGGCACTGGCACTGGCACTGTCTAAATGCTTTAATTCATTATCCCAACCGTGTGAGGAAGATGGGGCTGTCACTTACCTGGTGTTTCACAGCCAGTGTGCTGCAACATTAGGATTGGGATACAGTTCGGCCTAATTGCACTCTTGTACTCTTGACTGCAGAGATTCCTCATTTAATGATTGAGTTAAATTCCTGCGACTAGATCATTGAATGAATTGTTCGCTAGATGAGGCATATATAGCATCTAGATAACAATGTTAAGAACAAAGAAATGTTCAGAGGAAACTCCAACTTGATGACTTTGCTTTTATTTGCATAACTTACAAGTGGTATTGTAATGTATAATAGAACATAAAGCTACAGTACTGTACTGTACAGTAAATCAGCAAAAATTACAGCACAGATATTCCTTGTTTAATGACCTACCTTTTTTTTTTTTTTTTTGAGTCAGGATCTTGCTGTGTAGTTCAGGCTGGCCTTGAACTCACCTCGATCCTCTTGGCTCTGCCTGCCAAGTGCTGGGACTACAGGCGTGCCACCACATCCGGCTATGACCTACCTATTTAATGACTGTTTGGACTGAACCACTGGCCACTTGAACTTACGACCTGGTTTTGTTTTTTTGGTACAGTTCTATACATTTTGTTAGAGCCTCAATGTCTTTTTGCATTGTACACCTTGGTTAGACAGTACTGTTATCTTTCCGATTGTACTGTAGTTTTATATCATAAAATTAATTATTTCATTAATACATTACAATCCTGCATGTAAGAGTTGTGCAAGTAAAAGGAAAATCATCAAGTTGGAGTTCCCTCTGATCATCTTTGTTCTGAATATTGTAATGTACAAACTATGTGCAGTTCCTCACTTAGTGACCAACTCAGTTAATGCCCTAGTTGCAGGAACAGAACTCAGTTGTTAAATGAGTGTCTGTACTGTATAAACAAGGTGTACTAAACAAAAAAGACATTGAACCTCTGTAAACAAGATGTACAGAAGTGAACAACAAAAAAAAGACAAATCCTGAGTCTGAGCAGTGGGTTGTAAGTCTGCACAGTGTGCCTCGGTAATAAGTCCAAAAGTTGTTAAAGGAGTAGGTTGTTAAACGAGGAATATCTGTATCAGATTTATCTCCAGAAAGAGCTGGGGGTGGTACAACCTGTGCTAGCTCCTTATATATCAAACTCTTCTTGAGACTCTTAATGTGTTTTCTCTTCATGGCTTTGGAAAATTAGCTTGTCCAAGGTCATATACAGAACCGTTATGTAGCAGAACCTGATTTCTTACATCTGTCTGAACTTGACGTCCAAGATCATCAGGGAGTTGTTAAATGAAATTTGTTCTACAGCCTGATTCATAGGTCAGTTTACCTGGTTATTTTTCCAGTAATGGTAATGGGTTTGCATTGTTGGTTCATATCTTCTCTCATGAAACCCCTTAGTGTCATGGTGTTTATAACAGGGTTAAAAGGCAAGTCTTTGACCCTGAAACTGGTGTCCATCGACTCCATAAGGATCAAGCCTATGACCTTGACCTCCTAATGTGGTGGTTTAATTAGAAAGCCAGGCACCTGCTGTCAGGTAGGAAAATTGTCTGTTTCAGGCGTCAGTGGTTTTCGCGGGTCATGGCTGTAGATGGCACCAGACCAAACAGATGGTAAAGGTTATCTTTATTTTCCTTCTTTTACAAAGGAACTCTTCCTCAGCTGATAGTTTTCTTATCTCTCTCCTGTACTCTTCTGTTTTTATCAGAAGAATAAATTTTAATAATTTTTTTTTTTTTTTGTGCCGGGGATCAAACTTGGGATCTTGTCCTTGCGAAGCAGGCAGTGGAACTACTGAGCTAAATCCCCGGCCAATTTTAATAATTTTCAATATTATTACTTTGTTTTCTGTCAATTCTGGTTAAAATGAAAAGACCTTTAGGTGTTGAGTTTATGGTGATCTGGGAAAGCTGTTGGAGCCTGGAAAGAAGCTAAAAGTGGAAAACTGCTTGGCATCTACACTGTCTCTGTCTTCATTCTACCGAAGGCAAATAAAGCTTGACATGTCATTTATGAAAGGCTAGTGTTTCTAACTTAGAACTTATTAAAAGGGTTTGTAGTAGGCTACAGAGTTGAGTCACTATTAATTTGGAGTAAAATCTATGGTAATTAATAGTTTTATATAGGCATCATTGAGATCTTGTGTCATTCAGTCTTCAGTGAAATTGGGTGAAATTAAAAATGAAATAAATGCAGTTCACATTACTTTGATCAATTGACAAGTG